GCGCCGATGCAGCAAAAATGACTCCGCTAGCCGATCTCGAACAATGAACCCCTCCTTTGCATTGCACTTCTTATCTATTTAACCACTCCCGCACATACCATGTTGCTGTTTCTTCCTTGAGAACGCGCACTACAAAACGATTAGCATCCAAATCGATGGCTCAGCGGATGCTGGACTGAGGCACCAGAGATCAACTCCGGCCAGTCTCAAGGGAGATAACCTGACGGGGATTTACTACAGGCCATGTCGGGCGCTAATTAAGGTACGTTCAGGGCAGCGCAAATCCTCCAAGGAAGAGAAATTTTTCTCCAAACCTGACTACAGTATTGCGGACTACTTATATCGTCTTGCATACTTTTAGCCAGGATCCACTAGCCCTCTTGACGATATCCGCGCATAAGCGTGCAAGCCGATGCGAGCCTGCATTAGTCAGTCATGAAAATGAGATTTTGAACGAACCAATCATTTCAGATAAGACCCCATATCATGCTTTTTGCTTGAACACTGGCTTTGGTGCCCTCAATCACAGTAAGTAACAGACCCTGCTCGAACCCTGCTGAAACGGCTCCTTTAGCATAACACATCTGTAATACGTCGAGATTGAACATCCTTGCGCATATAAGGTTAAAATAAAAAATTACTTATAAAAGCAACACGTTGCGTTTGAACAAATGTTGTTAGCATCTATACTAAAGTAGCGGCACTTAAGTAACAGTTCCGTCCAGTTCCTTGCATTTTTGAACGTGTGATTCTACTGCCGGATGGAAACTCATTGGTCATATGCTGAGAAGTGACAAAAGCAGTGCGTGTGTATCAATGTCGTTGTAACCCAAATGTTTTTGGTCAAAGAGCCAAAGTCGCATTAACGAGCAGCTTGCCTTTATTAGCAATAGATCAGTCAGTTTTCTAAACGCGCAGCATTATATCTGATGAAATGAGAAGGATTGCACATAAGATACAGCAAACATGATGACGTAGCCAACTGTAAGCAATGCGTTTTACATTGCATTTTTGCTTGAGTTTGCGCAAGGAGGAAGGTTTCGGTCCTTTGCATGCTTTTCGACAAAGGCTTTTCTTGGCGCTTTACCGCAGTTCTGGCAAAATCTGTTGAGGTCTTTATCCCCTAGCTTTCGATATAAATCGAAGCACTGACCTGAATTCCGATGCAACCCAGTTTTCAGGAACTTTCGTGGAATTTAGAACGAAGAAGCGATATTTCGGCCTGTCATATGGTTGCAATACAGTGACATTCGGCATGCTGCTGCATTTCTTCGGTTTCGTTATTGCAATGTTTTGAGGCCGGATCATTTGAAAGGAAACATCGAAATCGAGTATTTCAATCAACTTGCACGAAGCATCCGTCTCTTCGCGTGAAAATGTGAATCCCTCTACAGTCTCACTATCTCCCTGTTTGGACAGCCTACACAAGCCCTCTTCGTTCTGAAGACTTTGCGTAATTGGCTTTGTCATTCCAACAAATGTATGCAAACCTCACGGTGTTCCACAACTGCACATTCACTTTCTTCGTAGCAAGCTCTCAAGCACTGAAGTTTATCCTCCAAGTAGAGGAAGTAGATGGGGTCTCCTATGCGAGCTGCACGGTGGTAACGAAAAACGCCAGCATTAAATGTCTAAAAGATTGAAGAAAACTGCTTCATTCTTACGAAATATCAAGCTCACCATCCCGACAGAAAATAGAAGTATGACTACTTTTGCAGTAGACAACATCGGATCTCACGAATAAGTTCTACCTGCTATTGCTGTGCAT